AAAGAAGTCATCTTTTCTCTCCAAACAAAATAGGATTTTGAGATTGACTTGTATAAAAATACATTCACACATTTAGAAAAGTTCAACAGGCAGAATAAATAAACCCAATAGATTCTCAGATTCAAGTGTTCCGTTCCCTAGGAAGCAACACGAGGAGCCCTGTTACGCTTCGGAGAGATTATGCTTTTTATCCTTCTAGTGGATAGGATCTTATCGTAACCATGGGAAGATCCCGTTAAGAATGGGAAGAAGATTTGTAATCAACAGAATGTAACAACCATTATGATTATTCTCTTACTGTATATTTTGATGCCCTGTTGTCTTGTGATGCGCTCTGTTCGGTGCCATGGGTTCGAATCTCTATCAAAATATATTGTTCTGTGTCTACAATCAACATTGTTGTATCGTCATCCCTTCAGCTTTAGTCCTATATATTCTTATATTATATATAATAATCATCCTTTCAGCTTTATTCTTATATATTGAAACATTATCATAATTTCAGCTTTATATTCTTATATTATATCATAATCATTCTTTCAGCTTTATTCTTATATATTGAAACATCATAATTTCAGCTTTATATTCTTATATTATATATAATAATCATTATTTCAGCTTTATTCTTATATATTGAAGCATTATCATAATTTCAGCTTTATATTCTTATATTATATCATAATCATTCTTTCAGCGTTATTCTTGTATATCATATAAATTATCATTCGTTCAGCTTTATTCTTATATATATTGGAACATTATCATAATTTCAGCTTTATATTCTTTTGTTGTATAATGATCATTCTTTCTGCCGTTTTTGTATTTACCATTACATTATCCTTCTGTAATCTTTATTCCTTACTAAATATATCATTACATTTCCTATCATAAAATATTATAACATTATCATTCCTTCTGTTTTATTCTTATCACATAATTATAACATCATTTTTTCGGTTTTATTCTTATCACATATTATAACATTATCATTCCTTCTGTTTTATTCTTATCACATATTATAACATTATCATTACTTCTGTTTTATTCTTATCACATATTATAACATTATCATTCCTTCTGTTTTATTCTTATCACATATTATAACATTATCATTCCTTCTGTTTTATTCTTATCACATATAACATTATCATTCCTTGTGTTTTATTTTTATCACATATTATAAACATTATCATTCCTTCTATTTTATTCTTATCACATATTATAACATTATCATTTTTTCGGTTTTATTCTTATAATCAAATATTATAACATTATCATTCCTTCTGTTTTATTCTTATCACATATTATAACATTATTATTACTTCTGTTTTATTCTTATAATCACATATTATAACATTATCATTCCTTCTGTTTTATTCTTATCACATATTATAACATTATCATTCCTTCTGTTTTATTCTTATCACATATTATAACATTATCATTCTTTCTGTTTTATTCTTATCACATATTATAACATTATCATTCCTTCTGGTTTATTCTTATCACATATTATAACATTATCATTCCTTCTGTTTTATTCTTATCACATATTATAACATTATCATTCTTTCTGTTTTATTCTTATCACATATTAACATAATCATTTTTTCGGTTTTCCTATCATTTATTAGTCATTATTTATCAGTTTGACATCACATTATTATATGATCATTCCTTCATCTGTATTCTAAACCTAGTTCCTAGCTAATAACATCAATGTTTATTTTTAGCAATCATTGCAAATAACTTTTAGAGAAATCTAAATGTTGACCTACCTCAGATAAAAAAAACTATATGAAAGGCCCCGAGATGAAAGCTTCATTTCATTTTGCATAACTGTAATATAAAAGAGCAAAAATGCAGTATACATGTACTTGAATACACAAATTACGGGCATCGAGAGAAAAAAATTGTGTGGACAAAACTGGGATCTTAAGCCACATGAGACATTGGAGAATTGGTAGCAGTGGATTTAATTACATTTGGCATTTAAACTTTCTGATAACAATAGTGTTGTTAGGGTATGCACAGACATTCGTTAATTGTTCATATAGGCATATCAACAGTTGTGGCTGTAGAACTATTATCAAATCCATTCAAAAGGAGAGGGTGGGGGGGGGGGGGTAAAAATTTGCAATTTGAAAGGGTATTCATTCATTATAATATTTTTCAAAATGAAAAAATATCTTTGCTTCATAAAATTAAACAATAACAAAAATATAAACAATAACTTACCTTAAAAATCGTGGATCAACAAATTTTCATTCTCAATCCAAGATTTTTTTTTCTGTTGTGTTGCTGACATGACAACAAGAAGAAGTGAATCCTGGGATGTCTTTAGTCACAATGAACACATCATACAGGTGTAGAGGTCTCTAGCCTTCGTCATTTCAGCTCACCCTCCAAACAATACAGGTTTCCGATTGGTCTCTACCGTACGCTGATTTCTTTTCACTTTCAAAGTTGTACATATCACCTTTGTTAAAATTTCTAAGATCTTTACTACACCTGAACAAAATTCACCATTTACCTTCAACCCCTGAGCAATATATGTTTGATACTTTATACATTATTTATATCTTGGAATTATGTTCACCAGTAGACTAAATTGGTCACTTTGCTGTAAAACACTATCACAGCAAGCCACTAAAGCTTTAAATGTCAAAAAACACTGTCTTTGTAAACTAAAACAACGAAATGCAAAAATTGCATTTAAATTATTCGACTCTATGGTAGGTCCTATACTGTATTACGGTTCTGAAATATGGGGTACTGAAGTATGTAAAGATATTGAAATTGTACATAACAAATTTTGTAAATGGCTTTTATGTACGGGTAGTAAGACAACAAATGCTATTGCTAGAGCAGAATGTAGTAGACTCGAATTAAAAATAAATTATATGTGCAATCCTATTAAATATTTTCTCAAATTGAAATGTATGGACGACCACAGGCTACCCAAACTGTCATATGAAATGTTATATATGCAAGATTTAAATGGTAGAAAAAATTGGTGTACATCAATTAAAAATATGCTATATCGACTTGGGTATGGTCACGTATGGTTAAACCAAGGAGTAGGTGATATACCTAAATTTTTGTTCAGCCTGAAACAACGTCTAAGGGATATCTCTCTGCAAGATTGGCATAGTTACATGTCCGAATCCCCAAAATGTGAATTATATTGTAAAATAAAACCAAGTATATATTGTGAGCCTTATTTATATAGCTCCATGTGTCAGTCGTTACGGTTTAGTTTAGCAAACCTAAGATGTTCAACGCATATTCTTGAGGTTGAAAATGGTCGTCGGCATGGTATATTAAGACAAAACAGATTATGCAAATTATGTAATTATAAAGCTATTGAAAATGAATTACATTTTATTTTGATATGTCCAATGTTATCTGATCTAAGACGTAATTTTATTCCCTCATATTACTGTAATCATCCAACTGATACAAATTTACATCAGTTATTTCGTTCCGAAAATCAATTGACTGTGTATAACCTGGCTATTTATATAAAAAGAGCAATGGGCATAAGAAATGAAATGTTGAGTGTCTAAGGGTTACAATTATTCTTACTTTAATTATTTTGAAAATACAGCTTTAAACAAATATGGTATTGCAGTTTAAATATGATACATTCGTTTATTAGTTCACCTACTAACTTAATGATTTATATATATATTTTTATTTGTTTAATTATAAAACATCGAATATTGTACATAATTATATTGTAAACTATGAACTGTATATATATTAGTGAACTATAGGCTTTTTGCCTTATGGTCAAATAAATAAAATTATTATTATTATTATTATTATACATTATTTATTTGAAGGTGATAATCCTTTTCATCGAAATTGATCCCACATTCAAAACTGACCAAGTAACCATTATCCTACTATAGAATTAAATAAAGTATATTGCTGAAAAATTGATAATATAATGTTATAATTCTAATTTTTACAAACCAAATGCACTTTTTGAAATTTTCGGATGTCACAGTACGGCATAGATTTTAAAAATTCTTTGGGCGTGGTACAAAAGATAGTAAATGGTAGCTTACTATTCAAGTTACTATTTGAATATGAAATAAAATGAATGGAGTTTTACGTCCTACTTTTCTGCACCATGTGGGCTAATGAAGACGGGCAACGCCATGCAGGGTGCGATGGGGGAAATTTTGCCAAGACAGCTGCATTAGCCTACTCTTTTTCGATTTCCAACTGTCGAGGGATCTTTAACGTGCACAGCCTGTAGCTCATGGGGCCTCGGTTTATTGTCCCATCCGAACGACTAGACGCTTTTTACTATTTGAGTGAGTATTTAATATGCAGATATGAACACCTCCCGTTAAACTATGGAATTGTCAAAAGTAAATACTTGTTCTTTTTAAATGAATGATTTTTTTTTTGCCTTCCAAAATCCACTTGCCTGATACTAAATACTTTTTATACAAGAAATTCAAAAATCACAAAAATGGTATCAATTCATGTAGTCTGTAAAAAGAGTTATGTCCCTTAAATGATTTTCAAGATGGCTGCCTCCATACTTCGTCCTTTTTTGTCAACAAATAAACATTTGCAGAGACTTTCATGTGCAGTGACTTTGAATTTTAAGGTAGTTCATATACATATTGTCAATATTCGTGAACTAACTCCAATGTTGTCAATTGTATTGCATTAGCCAATTGACTTATCAGAATATTAGCATGTTCAGAAAAGTACTTTGCCCCCCCCCCCCTTTTTTTCAAAGGACAACTAGGCCTATTTATTTGCCAGATCAATGATATAAGTTGGTGTTTATGACAAATACAAGAACTTTTATGCTCAAAAACTTGTATATATCCAGTAAGTCTTTGTATATCATTGACCTGGACTAGAGCAAGTCACCTAGACTAGAGGTCATAAATAATATTCATGGACATAGACTAATGAATGAGCTTCAAAAAGATTAGGCCAGATAACACAGTTTATTTACTTTTCAGTTCTCCACAAGTTCAAAGAGAGATGCCAAATTTTATAAGTCGGCTCATGAAGCAGTTGAAGATATACCTGAAGGTTCCAAACTTTTAGTTGGTGGTAAGTACGTTATTACCAGTAGGCCTATTTGCTCCAACAACGCTGTTTTAGTCAGTCCCATATTTTGTTGGAATATTTGGTTCTTAATTTGGTTTTTGTTTAAATCTTAGAGTCCTACTTCACTTCAAAGTCATCGCCATCAGTTTATAAGCTTATGTTTAAAAACAGACTAAAGACAGAATTTAAGTAAAGATTAATCTGATCAAGTTGTTATTATTATTACAAGACTGGTATTTTTATAACTGCATTACATGTTTTGATTGGATTGTACGCCAGCAAATACAGCCAATCACAGCCCTTGACAGAAGAAAGGCTGTGAACATTACAGACTTTCTGTTGAAGTCTCTGATTTGCTGTATTCACTAGCAAACAATCTAATCAAAATGATAAGTTTGTTGCTGGTATATTTAAAAGGTGGTCTATTCCTCAATACAATTACAGGTTTTGGTCTATGTGGTATACCTGAGAATTTGATAGCTGGTCTATTAAAGACTAAAATTAGTGGTCTTATCTGTGTCAGTAATAATGCTGGTGTGGATGATTTTGGCCTGGGACTTCTTCTCAAACAGAAACAGGTAGGAAAAGGCTATATTACATCAGGGTTTCATTTAAGCAGTGTCAAATCGTAGCTTCAGATAAAAATTACCCCTTTTGTAAGCCAATATTTCCTATGATTAGCCAAAATTAAAATTTATAGCAAAAATTTGCAAATCGAATTAAATCAAATTGCATATTTTTGTGAAAAGCAAAATGGAAGATTTGTTAACATTTGATTGAGTTCAGAAATCAGATAGTTCATGCTTGTTATCTACTTATTGAAAGTTTTGTTAACATTTGATTGAGTTCAGAAATCAGATAGTTTATGCTTGTTATTTACCAATTGAAAGATTTGTTAAAATTTGATTGAGTTCAGAAATCAGATAGTTCATGCTTGTTATTTACCGATTGAAAGATTTGTTAAAATTTGATTGAGTTCAGAAATCAGGTACGTAGTTCATGCTTGTTATTTACTCATTGAAAGATTCGTTAACTTTTGACTGAGTTCATGCTTGATAGTTCATGCTTGATATTTACAGGTTAAAAGAATGATATCATCCTATGTGGGTGAAAATGCAGAATTTGAACGACAATATTTATCAGGAGAGTTAGAGGTAGAATTAACACCACAGGTAATTACAGTCTTAATGTTTACTCTCTAGTAGAAAATTATAAATCTATGACTCAAAGATAACCCATGGAGTTACTGTTTTTTATTACATATTTAGAATATTTCTGAAATCAAATATTTTCATTCTAAATCATTTATTGATCAGTAGTCTACACCCGTTAATCTTTTACACCTTTAGGGAACATTAGCAGAAAGAATTAGGGCAGGAGGGGCTGGTATTCCAGCATTTTTTACTCCAACTGGTTTTGGTACTTTGATACATGAAGGTGGTGCTCCTATTAAATACAGTAGTGATGGCAATATAGATATTGCTAGTACTCCAAGGGAGGTAAGTCTTATTTACCTGAGTTACTATTTGCAGACAACTAATAAAATACCTTATTGGAAGGTTTATTTGCAATTCAGGCCTTTCATTTTTGCATTAATTATTTTCCTAAATGCTGTAGGTCTAGTCTAGGTCTTGGTTTATGTATTTATCTATGTTCTTTGGGATTCATAAAAAATCAGATGTTGAAAATATTGTGATAAATAAGCTTTCCGATATTGTGATATATTGATGAATTGAAATGAAAAGAGTTTTATGTCCTATTTTTCTGCACCTGATGTGGCTAATGAAGACAGGGTAACATCATGTCGGTTGCAATGAGTAAATTTTGCCAGGACAGCAACATCATCTCACTCTTTTTGGATTTCCATCTTTCGAGGGATCTTTAACGTGCACATCCCAAAGCACTTTGGGCGTGATATATTAATGAAGAATATCGTGATATCCACTACACACAATATCGTAGAACCCTATCTGGCGGTAGATTAGAGCTCACAATGCATTTCATAATATAATCTATTGTTAAAGATATATGACCTATTTGATTTTTCATACAAGATAATGTTGCTATAATTATTATTACTGGATAATCTTATCGACATCTGATATCTCAATTGTTATTAATGACACTGTAACAGGTGTCTATATTGACAACAGAGACTACATTAAAGGCTGAAATTTCTCAAGATTTTCAAATTGAAAAATCATCTTTTTGTTCATGAGGGATTCAAATTTTCAATGATTTTGCCAGTCACAAATGAGAAATTGAACAGAAATTTCATTTCTCAAAGTAAAGATGTAACACAGATGGTTAAAGAATTACTTGAGGTCATTTGCATGGTAAAGGCAAAAAGATGGAGGTTGTTTGTGAAAGTCAAGTCATATTCACTCAGTATTCCAGTTTGGCCAAGGATCAGCTGGTGAAAGGATCCTCAATTGTGAACCCAAGTTGTTATCCTTGTAAAATATAGTTGTTTCTTTTTCATTCTTTTTCTTTTTGTATTTTGCCAAATGTTTTAACGTTATTATGTCAGATCTTCTTATATTGCACCAAAAATCTTACAAAAATCTCTTCATTGCACACTTCTTCCCAATATTTTTTGTATTATTTTGCCGATCACGTTTTGATAAAATGTTATATTAATTAATAAGATTGTGTCAGGTTGTGTAGGGTTGTGTTATATTATATTATATAATCGTGTTATAATTATCAGTAATGTGTGATATTATTATTTTTTAAGTACATATATATATAACTTCTTACTTAAAGAGATTATTTCATTTGCTTGAAATAGAGTTTTATGTCCTACTGTTCTGCTAATGAAAGCCTTTCCAACTCAACCTGTTTTCCATTAAATAAAATGCCTAAGCCTATCAGTAACAGGGTTCACAGCTCACTATTGAAAATTTGAGCCTTCAAATTCATGTGTATCCAGAATTATTCACATTTGAAAGTTAAAAAGACAAGTTATTTTTTGAGACACTGCCATATATAGAAAAGACATATATAGAAAAAGGAAAAGAAATTTCTAGTTTGAGATATTTTTGAAGGAATTATGTGTACATTTCTAGTTCATCTGAGATTTTATACACATCTTCAAGACTCAAACTATCCACCCACCCCCCTAAAAAAAATGGCGTACCCGTCCCATAAGTTGGATTTTCAAATTATAATTTTTATTATTTGTGAATATGCAGATTTGTCTGAAAAAAGAATTTGATCTTGATAAATTTTGTAGACTTAAGTAAATGAAACAAGTTTTGAGGTTTTTTTATGGGGTATGTTTATTATGGGGTGTAAAATATATTTTATTATGTTCATCATGCCTTTTCTCAAAATGTGGCCTTTCCTAAATTAATTTATTTACACCATAGCCTTAGTATGTGACAAATAAATACCTGGTTGAATATGTGACTCATGCATGTGACAGCTGGCATATTTTTATATATTTACATCATACTGGGAAAGTCCATTATTTACACAAGGGGAGCTAAGTAGGCCAATATAGATATACCTTCAGGCTAATAACTCACATAGATAAGACTGATTATTGAATTAGTAAAATATAATCTTTTATATTTGTCCAAACACCCTTGTAATGAACTCAATTAAGTATTCTGGTTGACCGGTCAGAGACTCCTTGACCACCTAACCCAGCACTTGACAATAATGAGCAAGGCCATACTGGAGACACCATGTTGTTGGTTGTTTTAGAGTAATGCAGTAGAGACTATGAGAGCACTGATTATATTTAGCTGATGACAAACTATTGCAACACTATATATTGATTGTTATTAAATTTATAACATTATCATGGTCAAAGATCGCATGGAAGAGTTCAGGAATCGATCTAAGGAATATTCCAAAGTTCCCATGAAAGACAAAAGTTCCAAGAAAATGCCTGAAAAGGATGGTGGTATACAGAATTTTCTGCATTATGTGGAAGGTATAGAAAGTGATTTACAAAGTCTAAGAGAGAAAACAGACAGATTAACAAAACTTCAGCTGGATATCTGCAACACTCCTATGGGATATAAAAATGTGAAGAAATATGAAGAACTTGTGCATGAAATTAATACAGAGTCAACCAAAATCAGGAAAAGTCTACGACAAATTGAAGGACAGTTGAAAGAAAATCCACTGGAAGATGAAAGTGCTATGAACAGAATTCGTAATCAACAAGTGAATAGATTATCCAATAATTTGGCTGCGACCACAAATGATTTTTATATGGCACAGAGTAAATACATGGAACGTATGAAAGAAAATTTACGTAAACAATTGGTAGTGACTAATAATGCAAACGAGACTATAACAGGCTCCGAGTTAAATGAAATTTTGGATTCGGATACCAACTATGCAGCTTTTACACAGAATTACAAAACGGATTGTGATGCTGCAGAACAACAGTTACGTATAATTGAGGAACGAGACAAAGACATTAAAGCATTAGAACACAAAATCTCACAAGTGAACAATTTATTTGTGGACATGAGTGTACTGGTTGAGGAACAAGGGGAGACAATTAACAATGTAGAAAAACAAATGGCGTCTGCTACTAACGATGTTGAAAATGGCAAAGTGCAATTTAGGAAAGCAGAACAAATGGTGAAACGATCACGGAAGCGATGCTTTTGTTTTGCTGGAATAGGCATAATTGCAGGATTAATTGTGGTGGCAATCATTATTGGAATTATTTTAGCATAAAATTATTTCATTGTTTTGTAATTGTCATTGATGAACTTTGAAACATAATATACTTACAATTTGACTATATAAATTTTCGAAATTCTATAACACAGTGATCAGACCTTTGGTTCTTTACATTATAACATTTGCTTCAAAGCTTGGTGTCGTCGAGCAAATGGTGGCTGTAAGTTCCAAACTCGATCAGCATGTATAGTTCTGATGACCTTAGATAAGTCATCTTCACTCATAATTCCAGTCAACTCAGTTGTAAATTTATATTGATAACCCTGGAAAGATCCAAGAGGTTTAGCCAAGTATGAAAGGATCCTTAACTGTGAATCTGAGTTGTTATCCTTGTTACATATAGACTAGTTTCTTTCTTTTCCATGTGATGAATTGTGTAGATTAATGTTGGATGCCTCCTGTATTTAATGATTGTTAAAATGGAATTCTTTTGCAAGTGATATATATACAATTTAAATTACAAAAGCACAGGCCAAGAAGAAACTAGGTCTAACTCTAGTCATGAATTCAAAATACTCAAGCATAATATTGAATATGTTATGATTTTTTGATTAACTTAACTTAAAGAAAATCCACCAGGTCACAATATATTTCAGATTTAGATATAAACCTACTTGAAAGGGACAGGTTGGCAATTTTGAGGGGTTGATTTTAATCTTGAATATATGTAAATAGTCTTCAGAAGTACTAGAATTGTACGAAAATCACATAATTCCCTAACAAAATACTTCAAACTAGGAATTTTTATTCATTTTTTCTATATGTCTTTTCTATATATCACAAATTATCTTAAATTGATGAGTCATCATTTTAACATTCAGTCGCGGATAATTCTCAACACACATGAATTTGAAGGCTCAAATATTGACGGTGAGCTGTGAAGACTGATTGACTTAGCTAAAAAATGCACGTTTCTGAGACTAAAGTATGATTGTTAAAAAAAATGGTACCTCAGTCCCTTTAATTTTTAATGGGATATAGTCCTTTTCACTTTACAAGCTCATAGAGCTCAATTTTAAACTCTTGGTATCAATTTTCGGAATTAAAATCGAACCTCCAGTTCTCCTGCAATCAAATAAAATATACGTGTACTCAATATACATAAAATACTGTTAGAGTCCTAGTGAGCTGACCAACGGTTGATTTTCAAAGTTGGCACTAATTTATTACGAACATCGTTTTGGTAACATGTACGCTGTCTTTGCCATAAAACATATATGACTATGGATGCATAAGAAATTTGATATACCAACAAACTTAGTCAGAAGAAACTGTGTTGTATTGATATTTATGTTTATTGAAATACTGTATAAACAAGAGAAAATAAGTTATATTTAATAAGGTATAGAAATCAATATATCAGGTTTATGATATGTAAACATCTGGATATTTTATACATATTGATATAATCTGTATCATGTATTTCTAATTGGGGCTTTATAAGTTTATAACTTAAGCATGGCCCAAGGCACAGTCACATAAGTGTATGCTTTTCTTGTTTAAAACAGTTTATTCTTTATTTAAGTATTTGCTTGATAACTTGCTGGAACTCCATTTCAGGCATCTGTATCACTTTTCAAAATGAAAATTTTAAAACTGACTCTTTACATTTAAAAAAAAGATGATGTAACTACAGCTTTGAGCAGCCAGATTAGGATCTGGTACAACATGCTTTACTATTTACAAATATATAGGGGTTCAAGTATGCCTGGCCCAGCAAAATTTGATTGAGACCTGGCAATCCACTATAAAAGTTGAATTTTGTTGTCTTAAGATGTGGGCACACAAACGGTCTTGGTCGTCGTTTTTTGTCGCCGACTAAGGTCTTGTCAATCTCTAGTTTGTCGTTTTCCCCCTTGTCAATAATCACATGCTGAGCATGATAAATCCTGAACGACATAATCTTGTCGTGGAAGCACGCGAAATTTTACTCAAGATTTACTCCAGATCATTGATCAAGATCTTTCGATTGCCAACACCTTAACATATCAATTTTCAACTTAATCAAATGAGTAATATCCTGTTTTTGTTTACACTATGTTCTTCCTGATTGATTTATCAATGATAATTAGTGATAAAGAATTGTTTATTTTTATGACCCTTTATTCTTACTTTGTTGACACTTGAGATGATGGTTTGTTATTATTTATTATTACTGTTATATCATTGTGCCTTAGGTGTCAACACATTGTCAATAAAATTTCTTATTTTGATTCTGTGTTTTTTTTTTTCATTGTGATTTGTATGAACCCATTTGGGAGCTTAAAGGGATTGTAAAGAGGTTTTCTAAAATCTGTATGTGTATCGGGGACATTGATAGCATCATTTTTCAAACAGAGGTCTGTGGTTCTTGCAATTACATTAATCACAAAATATGCTTTATCACCTAAGGCCTTTCACGATTACATCAAACACTTAAGATTGTCCCTAATATTTTAATAGCAGCTTATTTTTAGTGATAAAACACTTAAAAGTTTTAGTGGAATTGCTATTCCAGAGACGTCTGACTAAAAATTGGAATGGGTGCAAATAGATACAAATAGTGTTCCTGATACACATGAAAAATTCAGAAAACCTCTGTTTAAGCCCTCTTTAGATATATACTATTGGAAGATTTGAATCACATTGAACATAGCATACCTCATTTGAAAATTCATGATGGCATCAGATTAAATGAGCACTCTACAAAATATGTCTTCAGAATTTGGTTTTATTAACTGCTTGGCCATTAGCTGCTGCTTCTACTATTTATCTTTGGCCATTACTTCAATTTAAACTGCAGAGTTTGCTGGAGAACAGATACTACATATCACACAAATATATTGTCATATATAAAGTTGTCATTGTCTTGAAGAAATGGGTCCTACATAACATGCTTTGATTGGTTAAAAGAAAAAGGGGATTGTGTTAGGAAACTTGTTAGATTACAATGGAGATGAAAATATCAGCAAAAAAAAGAAACAAAATTGTATTCTAATAAGAAGATAGGTATTTTTATGACTCATTTCATTTTCCAGGCTCGTGAATTTGATGGACGAAGTTATATTATGGAAGAAGCTATTACAGGAGATTTTGCTTTAGTTAAAGCATGGAAAGCTGATAGATCTGGAAATCTTACATTTAGGTTATTATAATTTATACTTAACTTAACTTTACTTAACTTAACTTTACTTAACTTGTATTGTAGATGTGGTTGTCAAAATATTCAACCAATTTCTGCAATACATGTCACTTTTTAACAATCCAAATTTTAGCCTTTTAATCCATGTGTGTCAAGAGGTTATCCATTTTTGAAAGTTAAAATGAAGACTCATCTTTTCTTGAGACATGAGCAATATATGGAAAAGACATGAAAAATAGAAAGTGAAATTCCTAGTTTGTAATATTTTTGAAGGAATTATGTGATAAGTGTACATTTCGAAAAAGACTATTTACATATATTCAAGACCCAAATCAACCCCTGAAAATGGTCAAACATGGCTTTTAATGTGGTTTGACTAATTTCAAATTCTTTTATATATTTCCTTTAAGGAAAACAGCACGTAATTTTAACCCTCCAATGTGTAAAGCCAGTAAAATAACTATAGCTGAAGTAGAAGAAATAGTAGAGGATGGTGAAATTCCACCAGAAGATGTACATGTACCTCATGTTTTTGTACAAAGAGTAGTGAAATGTGATAAGTTTGAAAAGAGAATTGAGGTGAGGTGCTCCATTAACCAGTTTAAAAGGGATACAGTATCAGACCTTAGCACTCAATTTTTTGCTATCTGTAACTTTTAAGAAAGGTCATATCCCAAATTGAGCTTAGTTTTATGACATGCACTGTGGCCAAGCAATGTGCAATGAGGGAAATTTTTACCAGTACAGAACTCTATCAATTCTAACTATTATATATAGACACAGCTTTATGGAACAACAATCACTGGTTAAAGTTTTATGCAACGTTTTGACGTGTTTCCCCCGTCATCCTCATGTGCCTGAATGTGCAATGAGGGAAATTTTTACCAGTACAGAACTCTATCAATTCTAACTATTATATATAGACACAGCTTTATGGAACAACAATCACTGGTTAAAGTTTTATGCAACGTTTTGACGTGTTTCCCCCGTCATCCTCATGTGCCTGAATGTGCAATGAGGGAAATTTTTACCAGTACAGAACTCTATCAATTCTAACTATTATATATAGACACAGCTTTATGGAACAACAATCACTGTGCCTGTGCCTCATGTGCCTGAGGACGACGG